CATGGAGCAGGACATCCTCGTGAAGGGGACCATCCTGAAATACAGCGGCTCCATGACCACCCTGGAGAGGCTGCAGAGCTTCCGACGGCTCCCAGAGCCCCTGACCGTCCAGCTGCTGACCATCGCCAGCGAGATCTTCCCACCGAAAGTCAAGTACACCTTCTTCATCCCCAAGGACGTGCCTTTCAACAAGCAGAAAGGCAAGGAGAAGAAATCAGCCAACGTCATCCAGCCCATGTTGACCTCCCAGTGGGTCCTGGGCGACTGGTCCGAGTGCTCCAAGACGTGCGGCTCCGGCTGGCAGAGGAGGACGGTGGATTGTCGGGACGTGGAGGGTGAAACCTCCTCCACCTGCGACCGAGCCCTCAAACCCGAGGACATCAAGCCCTGTGGAGATGTCCCCTGCCCTCTCTGGCGCCTGGGCCCTTGGTCTCCTTGCTCCCAAACCTGTGGGGAGGGCGTGCGGACGCGCAACGCCTCTTGCATCGATTACACCGGGAAAGTCACCGACCCGGAGAAGTGCAGCTCCCCAGGGCCAGCACCGGCCACTGCCGCCTGTGTCCTGCAGCAGTGCTGAGCCCTGCCAGCAGCAGCCACTCTCCATCCCCACCCCATCCACGTCTACCTCAGAGGGGGGAACAACGGCGGCGTAAAACGGGGAGGAACCGCTTCTTTTCCTTGCTTCCTGCCTCTCTTTCCAGCCCTGGTTGCTCATAAGGCGAGTTGTAATTTTAGGGGGAGGGAGGGAAAAACCACAAGGGTATCCATGGGATGTTTTCCAAAGAGCTGCTGTTAAACACAGGTTCTGTTTGCTGGGGGAAAAAAAACGTGGAGCTTGACTTTGCGGTCACCCTGTCCCAGGTTGAGGAGGTCCATGGTGGGTGGGTTTGCTGATAAAACTGGGATCCCCTTGAAAAAGCCTTGGATCAGGTTGCTGTCTCCTCCCTGCAGCCATGTGGGTGTCCTTGAGTGTGGGGAGTGTTTTACTGGCTGTGGGTTTAGCTTGGGAGTTAGTTTGCTCATCTGGCTGGGAGCAGGAACGAGCTGAGGGCCAGATCCTGACATGCCTTGGGCAGGAGGACAGGAGAGGTGGTCGTGGTGGTTCATAATCCAAAGGTGACAAGCCTCTGCCTCCAAACACCCCCAGCACCTGCAGAGATATCCCTAGAGCTGCCACCCCATGCCTCCGTTTCCCCAGCTATAAAACTGAGGCTTGGTTATACCTGGTCTGGTTTACCAGCCACCACAAGTGTTAATTCATCACCAATTCTGCAGTGCTTTGACCATGAAATGCCCGTTGTGGTGGCCCATCCCCTCTCTGGAGCAGACACGTGGGTGTCCCAGCCCTTCCTCTCCCCTCCTCATCTGTCACTGCCCTGCGTGCTCGTTTTCCAAGCCCAGCTTTAATTTTGGAGATCATTTGACTGGTAGCAGGGATGAGCCCAGGATCTGCAGATGCTGAACCTCTCCCCAGCCCGTTGCAGTGATGGTGGCTGCTCTTCACCTCTTCTTTCCTGGGGTACATGAAGATGCTTGGATCTGGGGCCGGGATCCAGCCTGACTTGAGCAATCCTGCTGCTGGTGCCTGGGGATGGGGAGGGAATTTGGGAAGGTTTTGCCATGGCTGGACAGGCAACCCAATATCCCCAGTCTCCTCTCAATGTTCCTCACAACCCATACCCTGCCTCAGCTTCCCTTTTGGCAGCAAAACATGGAATTTCCAGTGGGTACAGCCTTTATCCCATAGGAAGAGAAGGGCTGGAGGAGGAGGACTTGAACATACAACATCTGAGCTTCCAGTTGTGGAGTGAATCCCTTTTCTTGTCTCTTTTGCCTGAGCTAAGCTCCCATGAGACCCTTTTCTTGCTGGCCAGGCAGGTTCAGGATTGGACTGTGGGATGAACCTCTCCCCAAAGCCATGTCAGAAACCCTATGATTTATCTGAAACCCTAAATTATCCAGCTTTTATCTCCTGGAGCTGATTCCTATTGAAACCATGGGGGTCACAGCCAAAGATTGAGAGAACCCATGGCTCACTTTTTTTTTTTTTAGGAAAAAAAAGAAATAAAATTAAAGCCCAGCTGCAGAGTTTGGATGTGGAGCTGCTTGGGCTGCTGTTCAGACCCACCTTGGGGCAATGTTCTGTGTCTGCTAATTAATCTCCAGGAATTTAAGCCCTCACTCTAACAAATAGCTGGATGCTAAAGTCACGTAGCCTTGCAGGGTTATAATTCTCCCCCTCCTTCTCCCCCCTCCCCCCTTGAGCCTGTAAGGATTTTTACTCAAAGATCAGCCTGGATTTCCTCTCCAGCATCATAACATTTAGGATGGGTCAGAAATGTCAGCCTGAGATGGTGCCAAGGAAAACATCTGTATTTATCACACAAGTTGTGCACACCAAGGGTCTCTTCCAGTTGTTCTTTTATATTCACTGTGCTTAGCTGGAGCTTCCCAGATGCAAAAGCTCCCTTCCCAGATGCAAAAGGTCCCTGCTGTGGGCAAATCCTGCTGCTTTTCCAGCAAGGAGAAGGAGAAGGACCCACCTGGGAGTGGGGGGACTGCAAGCAGTGCTGCTTGGTTGATGTTTGGGGTTGGGTGATGGTAAAAGTGGGGTTCCTGCCCTTGCCTTCCTGTAGGAACAAGTAGCCTTTATGCTGATTTAAGTCAAAGAGGTTATATATTAGGATATATATATATATGTATATATATGTTTCCCTTCAGTGAAGGATTGTAGCAATGTACTGAGCCTCCTGTGTTAGGTATTTATTATAAATTTCTGTTGGGTTTTGTACAGTAGCTGTCAGGAAAGGAGAGGGAAGGAAAAAAGGAGAAAAACCCACAAAATAATAATAATAATAAAAGACTGTCTGTGTTATGCTGCTCCCACAGCCCCACTCTGGAACCTGCAGCAGGGCCAGAGAGGGGATTTCTCTGCTCATTGTTTAACCACTTTGGTGTCTGGCTGGTGTGTCTCCCTCCTCCCTGGTGCCCCCAGATCAGGGTGTGACTGCAAGCACCCCCAAATCAAGCTCGGGGGAGGGAGGGAAATATATTTTTTTCTGGTTTTTAGCCTTTTGTTTGTATTTTTTTTTAACTTTGAAACCAATCTGTGACTCTGCCTTTACCCCTTCAATAAAGGATTTATTGCCTGGTACCTCTTTGTATTTGTCTCTATTTGCACTCTTCTCAGTATATACATATGTATTTTTAGCTCCATCCCATGAGCAATACTGTAAATCTCCCTTTCCCACAGCTTATTCAGCTGCAAATAAATGGTTAATTCAGGTTTAAGATGCTAAGCCAAAACACTGCATGGTAGAGTAGGAAAAACCCTGGGAGTAAAAACTATCCCCCAGAAATTTTGAATCATCTTATTGCAGATTGGTTATGAGCAGCTGCCTGCTCTCTGTATGTTCCTACATCTGGACGGTTCTGTGAATTGTGTTCATTCTGGAGCCCCCAGCATAACAAGGACATGGAGCTGTTGGAGAGAGTCCAGAGGAGACCACAGAGATGATCCCAGGGCTGGAGCAGCTCTGCTCTGGAGCCAGGCTGGGAGAGTTGGGGTGTTCAGCCTGGAGAAGAGAAGGCTCCAGGGAGACCTTAGAGCAGCTTCCAGTGCCTGAAGGGGCTCCAGGAAAGCTGGGGAGGGACTTGGGACAAGGGCAGGGAGGGAGAGGACAAGGGGGAAGGGATGAAAACTGGAAGAGGGAGATTGAGGTGAGACATGAGGAGGGAATTGTGGAGTGTGAGGGTGGTGAGAGCCTGGCCCAGGTTGCCCAGGGAAGCTGTGGCTGCCCCATCCCTGGCAGTGTTGAAGGGCAGGTTGGATGGGGCTTGGAGCAGCCTGGGCTGGTGGGAGGTGTCCCTGCCCATGCAGGGGGGTGGATCTAGATGATCTTTCAGGTCACTTCCAACCCAAACCATTCAATGATTCTATGGCTTCCCAGGAGGACACACAGCCCACCGAGGGCTGAAACAGTGGAGGTGGCTCCTTCCTTGAACTGTGCAGTGACCACAGAGAGCAGGAACTTGGTGTCATCTCTCCAGGTGTGGTGTTGTCTGCTGAAGGGATAACTTACATTTGGTGTTACAGAAGATAAGATTTTGGAGTCAGCCCACTGGAATAAGCACAGTCTCATTACAAGGTAACCCAGATACCTTTCCTGGGGACAAACAGGCTCAGTGTCCCAGCTGAAAGCACAGCCTGGTGTTGAACAGCAGCTGTGGTTTATTTTCTGTATTATCAGTGGTTTCCACTCACTGGTGGAGCCAGAAAAAGCTGCTGCTGAGGCTGCTGGTGTTTAGCCTGATGGGAGGGCAAGGGTTAACCCATCACCACGGGACATGTCACTCCGTTAATGGGCACAGTGACACATGCCACCCTATTTATAACCAGGTGTGACATTTATTTTAGATGACTTCCCTTGGCGCCGGGTCCTGGGTTTGGGCTCATTAAGGGAACAGCCTGCCCTGGTTTTGTTTTTTTTTTCCCCCCACTTTCTTTTTTGTCATTTCGTTGCCATTGTTGGGTTTGAGTTTGAATAATTGGAATTTCAAACAATGCCAAAGGCTTTGGGATACTAAAGGGTAGGAAAAACCCCTTAATTAATCACAGCAGCCCAACCAGCAGAATTTAACTTTTGAAACAAAGAATAGTGGGATAAGAAAATAAACCTTATGGGAGCTCCTCTGTCCCATAATGACACCCTGGGGACAACAGGGACCAGTGGGCAGAGAGATGAATTTCTCTAGTCCCATCAAGGGGAAAGCATTAGGGTCAACCCTTGGCTGGACCCCCCCACTCTGTGCTGCTCCCCAGATGTGGGTAATTATGTTTTATCAACTTATTTCCTCTCACAAGGCACTTCCAGAGGTTGGAGGATATCCCAGGCTGCTCCTCCATGCGTGGTCATCACCAGGTAGGTGTGGAAATAGTGGTTTGCTCTTGAGTTCCTGAACCTCCTGCTTCCAAGGGCCAGGCTCTCCTGATCCCAAATCCCAGTTATTCCTGGATGTTTGCTCCCCCTTGTGCTAATGTTGTTCTCTAGCTTAGCTGCTTCCCTCTCTCCTCGGTTTGTATTTCTCCTTCCTTGTGTTTGTAGACAGGAGCTGGACCTTCCTTCCATCTCATCTTGCTGAACTTGGCAAGCCACACTCCAGGCTTAGCTCCTGAAATACTGTCCTGCTGCTGCTGGAAACTGCATAAATCTGAATTCATTGTCCCTGGACAGAAGCAGCCACAGTGTCCCAGCAAGGTCACACCAGCACCTGGTGCTCCAGCCATATACCCTTCCTTATTCCTAATGGAAATGTCCTTCCTGACATGTCCTAGAATCATAATGTCCCTTCTCTGCCATTATCTTGGAATGGCATTATCTTGGCTGGAAAGGGATCTCTGGAGATCATCCAGTCCAACCCCCTGCCAGAGCAGGATCTCCTAGAGCAGATCCCACAGGAACACATCCAGGTCTGGAATGTCTTCAGGGATGGAGACTCCACAACCTCACATGCAGGTCAAACCTCCTGTGCTCCAGTTTGTGCCCATTGCCCCTCGTCCTGTCACTGGGCACCACT